CCGCAAGACTCGTCAAGTCTTTGCTCATTAACAGTGACGACAGTTATTCAGCATAAAATACATGGTGCATAAAGATCAGAGGTTTCATAGGGTTACGGTGAGCATCTGAATGGCATGCATTTTATGATACAAGTGTCACTTTGCATATCAATGTGTCGTTTCCAGGATGAAAAAATAATAAAACAAAAAAACTAAAATACAGTGTTCATTTATTTTACAGTAATGATGGGGATGAGCTGAGCCCTATGTTAGGTTTCTGAAGCCAGAAGGAATTTATTTAGAACAAATAGAAAACTGTTTTACAACCAACTGCCGTTACCCCCCCCTGGATCTTATTTCTGTTTTTTTTTTTTTAAATGACCATCTGGGGTTTGTAAATTCCCTAAATTCAAATACCGTAAAGTTATCTTTATCATTCAGCCACCTTAAATGGAGCTCGCTCTTACAAAAGTTAGCCATGACATTCTCTGAGAAGTTCTCAGCTTATAGTGCAACATCACTCAATTTGCCCCACATGGGGGTGGGGGGTGGGGGGTTGTAAAGAGACCACACACCCCCAAAAAAGTGTCAAAAAGCAAACTAATTGAAGCCAACATTTAAAGAGGAAGACACATGAATAAACTGGTTTAACATGGCATCTGTGATGGATTATATTCAGATTTTCAGCAAAGGTTGTAGATTTTTACAGGCAAGGTCGGTTTTATCTCAAACAGCCTTTGAGTTAAATCATTGACATTAATATAGCAGGTTTGTAATTAAAAAAAAACAATGGTCGGAAAACATGTTAAAACAAAAAAAGTAATTTGAAGATCTGAAAAGTTGTATTTCAATAAGTACTTTWAAAAAATCGGTCAGTTTCTAATCTAATCCAGGGTCTGTGATTCTGTTCGTCTCTGTAGAAGACATATGGCACACATCCACACCCGTGATTTTACAGTCTAAGGCACTGCTCCAAACTCCCTTTTTTAGTTTTTCCACTCCAGTTCATCAATTTTTTCACGCTTTTAGTTTCTGAACTTTTTTTTATTACAAACTGGAAATTTGTAGAATAAAAAAAGTGCAAAATCTCCTTGTAATGTTTTACTGACAAAATATCTTTAATTCAAATCTAAAATTTCCTTACATTTTCTACATCTTTCATGTTTTTATTTAAAGGTGTCTAATTTATAAAATGGCAATTTATTTCGTAACATGTCAGAGTAATGATTTCGATAAATAAAAACACATTTATATAATTTTATTACACAAAAAAAGACAAAACTAGAAGTAATTGTGACTAAATGGATCCAACAAACAAAATAATATATTTTATTTTTACAAGATCATCTTTTGGTGAATAAACTAAAAAGATTTATATAATTTACTTACTTGTCATTTCAACATTAGATACATAACTGTTGGGTTCAATGGAAAATAAAGAACACTGGGRAAAATTCCCCACAAGTTTTTAAACATTGCTAATATTTTGCACTTTTCTTAGAGAGATGCTCTCTGCCATACTGGAAGACCTGTTGGCATTAGCTTAAAAATTTGGTTTTGGATAAGAGCATTATCCAGCCTTTCTGTCAGTAAATTTCATTTTTATGGTGCATTTGGCCAACAAACGAGCCATGTGTTTGGATACAAAAAAAAAATAAATTCAATAATTTACAGTAAAAAAAAAAAGGCAAAAGGCCAGGACCCTTACCAAAGCAGTGCTACAGTTTACATTCATCCATCAACTTGGCCGTTCTATCATAGCCCTGGCTTTATGTGTGGCGCATCACATTGTTTTCCAGGAGAGAAAAGAGGAAAGAAAATGTAAACGTCATTAACTAGTGCAAACATGACCCTGTCTTTCTCGTGCAGGGCCAATTTTAAAGCTTACCCTAAACATACTTGGAGGACAGACACTTGGGAGAAAAATCTGGCTCGAACTTTTAAATGGCACATCACTGAAACGTGGATACAGATCAAATACAAAGGGGGTTTACAGGTACTGTACTTTCTGCTTAACTTGTGCAATCAAATCTGTTGTAACCAAAACAAAAAAACAAAAATAAAAAATAAAAGGAATTGATTTTATTTTCAATCACTTTAGAGATGGCCACGTTTCCATATTGGCTAAAAATGACTTCCAGTTCATTGGCTGAAATTAACGGTTTGCTTTTGTGATCAGATGTGCTTTGATTGACAGAAAAGCAAATCATGAGGGAAACATTCACCAGCAAATTGTTTAGCACATGAAACCCTAAAAAAAGGATAGAAAGAAAGAAAGGCTGTTCGGACTGTGTCCTTATCATGGCAACAAACAAAAACAAACGTAAAAGAAGAGTATGACAAATGCATGGCCTTACTCCCCTCAATCAAAAACATAGAAACAGTCATCGTCAGAAAGACCCGTTGTTTCCATTTAAACCCACAAACTGCCTGATTAGGTACGTAATCAGGGTAACTTGCAGTCTTTGCAGGTCCATTTTCTTTCTTTTTTTCTTTCCCCCAACTCCTCACTTTCCCATCCACTCTTTAACCTTCTTAAGTGCAAATGCAGTAAGCCAGCATAAATTGCTCRTAAAAGTCTAATAATTTACCCACCCACACATTTCCCCTACAAGGAAGAAAAGACAAAAAAATAAAATGGGATGGAAGCAGGACTGTGTAGTCTCAGCATATATCACACCACCACTTCATGGTGAAAAAGTGCTTCTCTCTGGCATTTTTTTTTCTTTAAACGTAAAAAACGCTCAGTGTAGTGCACGTCCTCTTTCTACTCCATGTATTCATTCTCCTGTTTTTAAGGTGACAAGCAGGCGCTGTAGCAAAAACGCAGGACTTTTAAAACTCATAATGTCCATCCTGGGTGGCACCAAGGCCAGTTCTAACAACCTGTCAGACTGAGGTTAGAGCCCGGGTAGGAAATGGAGAAAGTCCTCCTGGTTTTAATGGCATATCTCCAGGCAACAGTAGCTCTTGTCTTATTTTGATGCACTGCTGCGGTTTTGCTGTTGTTTCCACTAATTACGTCTATCTGTTGTTTGGAATAATGCATGCAAAGCCATGACTTTAGTACATGTTATTTTCTTGTTTTCTGTTATTAGAATGATGGAATTTAAATGCTTTTTTTTATCTCCAGAGTCCAAAAGAATTGCAACTTCTGAACATTAAACAGTTTGATTAAGCAATATGTGTGTGGAAATCTGCATGTGTGTGATGTTGGGAGGGGCTGTTTGGAGCAGACACAGGCATCACATAGTTGGCAGGATCTGATATGTTATGGTAAGATACGCAGATCAAATAAAAGCGATGCATTTGTTTTTGGCTTTTGAAGCAAACATGAGCATATTCATTGTGAAAGTGACATGCTGTTTGTTAAAAGGTATTATCACAGTACTCCATAATTTTCATAAACAATAGTTTGATGTCAAGTGGACCAACATAGCTCTTGTTAGGRAGCCATGTTTCTCGGATGTAGTCCCCTCAAACGTTGGGTCGTTCTCAGATGCAGTTTTCCAAACTTAAAAGGAAAAAAAAAATGTTTTACAAACCATTACACCAACTGCAAACAAAGCAGCTGCAGCTTTTTGTATTTAGTGATCTGATGAATCATTACAGCTATTTGTCACCGCTATCTGTAGCTGCAAAGAGCCCAAATACCGAGTGCATACTTTAAAAAGAAAAAAAAAAGTTGGATCAGAAAAGGTTGTTTAGTTTGAATGGTCTAATGCCATGCCTGTGTGTACTTTTACTGTCAGTGTTTTTCTTCCACTACTGGCAAGAAAGTGAGCCCACGCGAGCGCATGCATGTGTGGCAGATTGCTGTGTAATAAGATTTATGAGTGCAGCTTTTGTGCTGGAAAACTCCTGTCAAGGAAGCACAGAGGAGAAGAACGAGTGGAGGACGAAATGCGAGCRTTAAAGAGCAAGAGGGGAAAAAAATACAAAGTTAAACGAGTTTCACGATTTGAGAGACAGCCCAAAGAGACATTCACTGTCCGTTCACCCTCAGGCCTTGTTCAAACCCTTCCGCCTCCTGCTTGGGCGGCGTGACGCTCGCCTCGCCCGCCGTGACTAACAGTGTCGCCCCCGGTGAGCCGTCGACGCTCTCCAACCCGTCGTCATCTTCCTCCTGCTCCTCTTGAGCTGCCGTCTCCCCTTCGCCGTCGGCCTCTGCTCCAGCCGCCCCAGAGCCGGGGCTGCCGTCTGTCTGAGTCCTGAGAGGGTCCTTGCGATCCAGATACAACCTCTGCTCGAGGGCCTTGAAGTCATGCTCAAAGGGGAGGGGCACTCCTGACTGAGGGGCACTCAGCGCCAGGCTCAGACCTACGCCAGCGCCCATGCCCATCCCCGCACGGTACACTTCCATGCCGTCAGGCAGCATGGACTTGATCTTGGGCAGCCACCTCTTGCGGACGCGCCTTGCGTTTGTGCACATGTCAGCAGCGATCACATTCATTTCACTCTCTTTGAAGTTGGGGTTGAAGTTTTGACAGTACACTGTCAAACAGAGAACACAGAAAAAAAAAACATGAAGACAAACAGCACATATTCCCCACCATATTTCAGGAATTTATTGCACAAAATAACTTACATTTGACAGCATTAAGGACCCTGCTGTCCAGGGGTTTCCTACTTGGGTCACTCGTAGAAGAACGGATGCCTGTCCCGCAGCTATTGGCCAGAGTGTTTCTGCAGGAACACAGTGTGAACACCAGGGGGCGGAGTCAGAAGCAGGTATATACAGTGCATGAGATCAGCATGGGAACATACACAACTATCTGCATTGCACAACACGGCCACAGATGGAGTGTGAAAGCCGCTTTGTGGGAGCAGCAACAGTACTAGAGTCATACACGGATACTAGACTAATACAAACAGTAAATACAAWATGTGCTTGGATTTATACACACCTGTCGAAAAATGTGGCTAAGAGACGGCGGAGCAAGACTTTGTGTTTGATCCCGGCACACAAGTGACAGTTCATCAGCTGCCCGCGTGTCATGAACACCTGGGTACCTGCGTTGCATCAATAGAAAAAAAGGTTTGATTAGAGTTTTGTGTCAATCAGATTTGATTTCTTTGCTTCTGATGGCAGTATATTGTTATTTAACGCTGCCTTTTTCTGTATTCATTACAAGACAACAAGACATACAGTATATATAGTTTTGTTTTAAATGTAAATGAGTTGTGAAATAAATGGCTTTGGTGATAACTTCATCAACTCTGATAATAATGTGAAAAAGCCCGAGGGCTCTGTGTTCCTCAGAAAATTACAATTGCATCATTTAAGCATCTTTTTTTTTTAGCCCAAAACGATTTGATCCTAAATAAATGCAACGGTTTTTGGCCACGCTCCAATGATGACACTGCGTTCCCTACATGCTGAGTCGTACGTGTTCTCTTTGAAAGTTGCCGTTATGACCGCTAAGAGCAATATCTGACAGCCGGACCACAACGTGAACTTTTTGTCTAATCATACATTTTTCCACTCACACTCTCTCGGAGCTCTGTAAGGGCCATTTGGCAAAGCCCCGGCAGGCAGTCATACGCTTTTCACTTCCAACTGACTTCTATCTAGACACTCTTCCATAAAGGCCTGATTGATGACAACTGCAGAGATCGTTGTCCTTGTGTCACAGTCCTAAATCTCTCCGAAGAAACTCTGCAGCTTTGTTTTATTCCCTTCAAACAGTCTGAGGCAATGACATGGGTTAAACCCATTATAGAAACCAATCTGAATGACTTAATGTACACCAACCATTCGTGCTTCATGACCTTCCCCTGGCCTCTGCAACGACGTGCACAAGACACTGCTTTAGCTCAACAGCTTTTTAATTAGAGAGAAGAAGCTAATTTATTGATGCTGATGTCTAAATATATTTTAATCCAAATCTAGATTAAAACGTATACAAAGTGACCAGAGTTTAACCTCTGACAGCTTAGAGAAAAAAAAATCCAGCTCCTGCTCTGCTTTTCCTCAGCTTCATACGAAGTGTCTCTGCTCTGCGGTGATGAAAGCCTCGGAGCATCCTGAGCTTATTAGCTTGATCGAATTAAATCAGTGAAATGTAATTTTACAGGTATCGAATTATGAGTCTAAATGAAGTGAGCAGATCGGACTGGATCGAATTATGAGTCTAAATGAAGTGAGCAGATCGGACTGGATCCCCAAACTACTCTTGGAATTAGCGCATGGGGAATGTTTGTTATTAAATGTTTGGGAGTGAATGCAGGTGTTCGCCTACCAGCGACCAACTCCAGCTTCTCTCCAGGGTCCCCCTCGGTGTACAGCTTTGGGTGGCAGCGGTAGCCGATCTGGTTTATGAGGCTCGCAGGCAGAGCCACCAGGTCTCTGCGGATCAGGACACAGTTGCGATTCTCTAAAGACACGGGCATCGCCGCCATCTCCGGCTTGTCTTGGACTAATAAAACCAGAAGGAAAAACATAAGTTCCCAAAACAGACAATGGAGGCATCACCCTTTCATTCATTCCTTTTAACACATAAAAAATAAAGCTATTGCAGTTTAATTACAAAAGCATGATGTGTTAATCTGAAGTTTGTTGAGTTTGGTAAATGTTTTAGACCATTGCAGATGTATCAAAGATAAGTCAGGATGCTGCACAAGTAATCTGAGTTGTGGAGAGGAAGGGGGCAAATCCAAAAATGGGTTTCGAGTTCTTTCACCCAAAATGTTTTACCCTAACCTCTAAAGTGAGTCGTAAGCGCATAAACACGCAAAACCACACAGATAGAGGTCAAGAGAAATGAACAAAGAGATTCTAACACATGCACATAATTGAAAGGGATGATTAATCCCTTTGCTTGTTTGAAGACATCCCTATCCCCCCCACACACACACACACATACTCTCGTGCAGGAGCGATGTGTGCGCCTCTCAAATATCCAACAATGTCACCCTGCGGTGCTCTGACTGATTGCAGATAGAGTGGATTTCATCAATTTCTGAAACCCTAGAATCCAACAAAGACGTGTCATGCCTTTCAGCTGCAGGGTGTAAAGATTTATAGAGAGTTTCTGGTGCCAGTTCTGAGATTGTGAGTTTCCCTGCAATGTGAATGCAAACACACACACACACACACACACAGAATGGATCATACGCTCGCATGTGCAGAGATATCTACATCAGCGTGAAATTATGGCTAAAAGAAATAAACACTCTAAAATGTAGTGCAGACCAGCTGCTGTGGATGTGATAAGGCCTGTGTTGTTGGTCACGATGCAATCGGATCGTAACTCCATAAGGCTATCTTTAAGCTGAGAGAACCCACACACACACACACACACACACACACACACACACACACACAGGAGGCACAGCATGCTTTTCTTCTAAGATGTGCAGAATACATCATTTATGAAGATTTAAATAATGTAAGTGGGATAAAACAAACAGCTTTTCTCC